GCATTTCAGTAATTTGTGGGTGTAATTGCGGTCAAATGCATCCAGGTTTGACCACAAACGTGGTGAGATACATTTAAGATAGCCCCGGTGTGAGCACACCCTCGATGCAGAAGCCGGTGGATGGGTTCGAGGAGCTAAGATGGGATAGAACTTCATGGAAACTGCCAAACTGCCAAACTGCCCTTCTCTCCCGAGAGAGAGAGAGAGAGAGAGAGAGAGAGAGAGAGAGAGAGAGAGAGAGAGAAAGAAAGAGAGAGAGAGGCCATGGGCTAAAGCCGAATAGTGATAGAGAGTCATTTTCCCTGCAGAAATGTGGAGATAAATCTCACGACGTGTTCTGCTCTAGGTTTAGTTACGTGTCACTGCTGGATTCTGTTCCAGTGAATCGAGTGAAGATAAGTGGCCAGATTTATCCCCAAATGGACTAAATGAAAATGGCTTTCTGAACAATGCGTATTGTCATTATCGCTATCCAAACCCCCTCCACAAAAAAAAACGTGACTGTGCCACTGTTCCATCGGACTTCAACAACTTCTGTGAGGATCTGGGTCCTCGGCAGGCCTAAGGGCCCCCTGTTGCATCTGTGCCCGCCCTAAGTGAAGGGGGGCCTAACAAATCACGAGAGGTCTTCGACTGTCAATTTTGTATTTGGGGTCGAGGCAGTTTCATCGCGCCAATTGGTTGAGGAAAAATACAGCCCGAGCAGCGAGACTTTCGACGGCCTTCCATGCCTTTCCAGAATGATGCAGGCCCTGGACGAGAATGACAGCCTCATACACAAACAGTTAGGAGGCCCAACCGAATGAGGCCCAGTAGCTGCAAGAGAGGGGCAGCATCCTGGGGCCTACGGGAAGCTTCTAGGCCCAGGCCAGTCCAGCCAGACTGCCGAATGAGGCAGGCTCTTTCCATATAGGAAAGAGCTCGCTGCCTGGCCAGACATTCAGGCACTTGTTGCCTGGCAGCAGCGCTGCTGGAGCTCATGCTCGCGTGCTAGCTGCTAGCGTTGGAGAGCGCCGGCTTTTTCGGCCGGTAGCCGCCCTTTCCAACCTAGTTCTCACAGTAGCAGGCAACACAACCCTCTATCGCACTTTCGCGCGTTGGCGGGAAAGGAAGAACTGAGGCAAAAAAAAAAAAGGGAAAAAATTTGGCGGTCACAGTTTTTTGTTTTTTTTCGCCCCGTCATGACAGGTTACTGACAATAGAGAGAAGTATGCACAAGCCAATCACACAGCATCAAAAGACACAGTATTCAAAAGGCTCATGTATATTCACGTACACGAGTACATAAGCACACATGCACAAATGATTGTGCGACGGTTGGGATATGGCTCCCCGACTGGTTTCGACCGCAGCCACGCGGTAATCTTCAGGGGGTTTTCCACCTACAACGCCCTTCTTCTCGACTCCTCCTTCCACTTACCCACCTTCGCCTTTGACCCGCTGACCATCTCCGGAAACAGTTGGTGGTCGCTTGCGTCGGTCCTAGAAAAGACCAAGAGACACACAATCAAGACTTTTATAGTCCGCATATTATCGTCCACCTATCGCGCTGTACAGTCCTACAAACATTGGACAAAAGTGTATCTGCCCCACAAGTTACCGCAGGAACAGACCCAGGCGGTACCCACGCTAAAAAACAACTAAAACGAAAAACAAAAACAGCCGCGCAAACAGCGGCAGAACCCTGTGTCAACACAACCCTACAAACTTGTAGAGGTACAGGGTTCGATCCCAAAGATCCAGTCCCCCAAAGAAACACCGCGACAGGACACACTAGCCACTCGACGCCACTGTCCGCTCAATTCCTTCTACCAGGGACCAAATGAGGCTAAGATACCGGGTTCAATTCCTGGATCCTTGTCCGTATAATTTCAGGATACGCAGGTCGATTCCTGGACCCCTTGTCAACTTGACAATAGCTCAAAGGGATAAAATTACAAAGGATTCAATACCAACTGAGACAAATCTGAACATATAACGTATAACTACAATTACTGGAATCCCTGTTCATTTACAACAACTATGAGAAATCGTGAGACTTCACCGGGATACTCAGATCGTTACCTGGGCCCTATCGACTAACCAATAGCTCAAGAACTATAACTACAAAAGACTACTTTCACACCTATCAAAGCAAGTCGTTATACAAAGTGTTCGCCTTTCTAACTCATGCAGCCCCACTCACAACAAGAGGAGAAAGGACAAACCGCATAAGCAAACAGATCGAACTACTGGGATACTGTCATCCTGTTTCAAGTCTAGAAACCACAATCACTTGTTGGTGCTCCGTTACTTAGCGTACAACCAGTGTACAGTCCAATCCCAGATCCTATCCCGTCCCTTCGCAAAGCGCTTCACCACGCGTTCGACAAAACGAGCTGGGAAGTCCTTCATCCTCAACTCGCTTACCAGGCTCAGGACTTGACCAGGTATACGCGATCGAACGTTGGTGTTACGGTCAATCCTGTGGAGATGGCATGCAATAACAGCACTCTTCTGCTGCTTACTCCCCCAGGATCTGAAAGACTGTCCATTTTTGCTTCGTGCTATATAGTCCTCTCATTCTTCGCCACCTGATAACATGACACATACGGCTGAGTATGACTGATACTCATTCGTGTACCCAGAAAATCCCAAGAACCCAACCCGTCATCCATCTGTTTTAGTTGGAGGTTTTTAGGATAGCAATCCTCGAACTGCACTCGAATCTGTTCCGCTGTCATCAAGCTGTTTCTTCGTTCGAGCACCACCAGGCTCACATCATCCATTAGCCGAATACCAAACACATCGCTTGCCGCCCTTCCCAAACGCTGCAGAAATCCAATTTCCGCATAGGCACACAGGATGTTGGCCAATGGGGGACTAGTGCTCTTCCCCATTGGAATCCCCACAATTTGCCTCAGTAGCACCCCTGTGGCCCGGGTGTAGGTATGCCTCAGTTCAATACGGACAAAACTTTTACACTGCTGCAAATTAATCGTTCGCCAATGATCGTCCCCCGCTGTATGACCGAAGGTACATCCTTTTCCCCATGGGTTAACTCGCACTTGGCGACGACCCTTCGCAGCGTGGTAGTCAACTAACCAGTCAACTGCCTCCACAATTTCCTCGTGCGGCAGCTTACTGAACATGTCTTTGATGTCATATGACATCACAGACACTTCAGAGCTAATCCCCATCCTTATATCAATCTTCTTGTTAATCCCTTCAATCGTCGGGACCAACGAAGGCACAGACTTAAGGTTAAAATGCCAACCACGAGGCAGTGTGTACTGCAGGTGATTGAGTACTTTAGCAACCAATCTACACCCTGTAATGGTAGGTTCTGAGTACGTCGGGCAAATGGGATGAAATCGGGCGAGGTCCTTATGTTTTGGCATAACATACGCCTCACCGATTTTTCCCTTTTTGTCCCATTGTACCACCTTCGACAAGCCTGCTTCCGACATCTCCAATCTCCTCGATTCGATAACCTTCTCCTCCCTCTCCCTTGTCACCACATACCCAGTGCTTGCTACAAAAAGCTCCAACATGGCTTCGAAATATACTCTTGGACATAGCACCAACGTTTCCCCTGGATTTCTGTCCAACGATGTCAACACCAGACCACCGAGCTTCTTCTTCAGAAGGTGCACCTCCTTCATATCCACGAACTTAGTCGCAACATCGGGCGCGCCTGTTAAACATGCTTCCACATCACTTTGTCTTATCACAGGCTTAGGTCCCCTCCAATTTACCCAGCCTCCCAACCCTGTCGTGATTTCTTGCCTAAGCAAGCGTCCTCGGTCCGGATGAGACAATTTCGGGACATTATTAGCATTGGACAGGAGAGGATGGATCCCTTCCAGCTCCGAAGTCGGAACCGCACGTGACCTCCTATCCGACGATAGGGTAACCCTGCACAGGCGCAGGTTGCCACTTCGGCGCGGGAAAAACCCCGCTGATTGTGTATAAGAGTTGTCACAGACGGGTTCTTCTCCCATACAATGCGCACTCCCTTCCGTGCATGATTCCTCAACAGCGTTGGACAATCCATCTCCTCGAGTTGGTCGTTGAGGAGCTTCCTGACTTCAACCACCCGAATCCTATCATCAACTTCCAGCTTCACTGTAACCTTCGAATTCAAATTCCAATCGTAGTTCTCCTTGATAACTCTATCAATCAATCTTCTCAAATAGGCCGTTGTGGATGCTTTCTAAAAATCCTGAGCTGCTTTCGTCAGCCTCACCAACACTTCTTGATTACACTTTCGCAAAGACTCCACACGTTTCCTGCTGCGCAAAATCGAGATAAGTGGGTCCTTATCCTTATTGATCTTTGGTTTCCACCTCCGCAAGTGGAGAACCTCCATCTCCACCCCCTTCTCCATATCCCGTTTGCAAGCCCATAGCTTACACCACCTGTTGTTTACCTTAACCTCAGACCTTCCAAAACTCGATTTGATCGATTTCCATCCACCGCCCCAACAACTACCTTCCCTCACGTGTAGAGTGAATCGGTTACATCCCGCCGACTCCTGTGCTGACAGAACTTGATAATAATTCAAGCTCCATTCCTCCATGTCACTCGTTTTCACCCTGATCGGTATCACGTTGCCTGCACTCTGCCTAGTAACATGCTGCAAAGTATTCTTTCGCCTCTCACATCTCCCCTTTCTTCTCCGTCCACCCCCTGCTTTTACCTTCGTCATTCCTGTTGAATTCAACGTCGGACACCATCGCCGAATATAGATTTATTCCATGTTTACCAAATCAGCTCTTGAGCATTGGTCGACTGGAATCAGCACGTAGGACTCATATCCAAAAATCCTCCACCATCTGTACAGGTGGTTCTTCTTAGCCCCTCGCTTGCAAACTGAAATGTGCTCGCTCCACGTCATCATATCGTCCCGACCTGTCTGCCCCACATGCTGTGCGCGACAGAGCCGTGAGGTAAAAACATACACTCCTCCGCCTATCTTCGTAAAACATCTAATTCCATGTTGCCTATACAACTCGGTCCACGAAACCACACATTTACTCATCTATCGTATCTAATTACTTAGGGCTAATGCAATTACAATGAGCCTGTACAACAAATCGACGGTCTGGTCGTGTAAGTTCTCCCGGCGAAATTCGATTAAACATCCACAAAGCACCCACAATTTACGATCCGTTCACACATTACTACCTGCCTCGTCCTCCTCCACCTCCTCCTTTTCCACTGGGTTCTCCCCCGTCTCCTCTTCCGGACGCCTCGCCTCCACATCCCCATATGCGACGATTTGCGTCCGCTTCTCCACAATAGCCAATATGGCTTGCATCTTCTTACCTTCGTAAACAACGTCTTCAGTCGTGCAGATCCTCCTCAGTTCCTCAACAGTCATATCCCCCAGTTCCCTCAAATTATCGGTAACAAATTTCTACTTACCGATAGTCCCGCGAGCTTCCTCTTGCCCGTCCCTGAAGTCCTACGAGGAGTCTTGAGAGGAGAAGTCTTCTTCATCGGTTGATGACGACAACCCAGCTGGAGTCGTCGTTTGGCCGTCCGTTTCGCTGGTGTTTCCATAGGTGGGTTGTCGTCGACAACCTTCTCAGCGCTCCGTTTCCTCTTATTCGTGATAACCAGCCACTCCGTTTTTCGACTAAGGATGTCCACGTCGCTCTCATATGACCGGGCATCTTCGTCGTCGGATGAGGCAGCACGGGCCTTCTGCTTCCCCTTCATTCGTTCCCTTAGATCTCTCTCGTATCGGCGCTGGAGCGATTCATCGAGTTGCCCCATTCGGAGAGAGAACTCCGTGAGCAGTTCCTTGCGCAACAACCGCCGGTCTTCCTCCTCCTTCTGCAATTTTTCTTCCTTTCTTGCGATCCTCCTCCGTTCCGCCAAGCGGGCTTCCTCCGCAGCTTTGGCTTCCTCCTCCTCCCTTTTTTTTCGTTCCAACTTCTCCTGCTTCTTTTTCTTCGCTTCCTTAGCTGCTATCTCAGCATCGTAGGCTTCCTTCATGGCCGCCATAGACGCGGCTAATTCTTCGATTTGACGCTTGACCGTTGGATCCTCGGAAACAACTCTCGGTTCCGGATGACGAAAATGCTGCCTTGGTGATAAGGACCTTCCACGCTGCCTGGCGTACCTAGGTCCACCGTCCCTCCCTAGCCTCGGACATTGATTTTGGTAGTGTCCAGGCTCCCCGCATTCGTAGCAGACGGGGGCGATTCGATTCGGGGCCTCCCTCGGACCGGATTGACTTGAATTACCGCGCTCAATCGGACGCTCCCTTCGTCCTTCACTATGCTGATCGCGACCACCATTGTGGCTGCCATAGTCCCTGCCTCGATCCCCGCTCCAATCACGATGGTTATCTCGACCATGATACCTATAATTCGAACCCATGCCGTCTCGGATCCAAAACTGTCCCGTTCTCCAAACTATCAACAAATAAACGCCGAAGCAGTACCAAGGTACTCCCGCAACTCAACCTAGCAAGTTCCCTTCGTTCCAGTCCGGCTCACTCCCTTCACACATCTCCAACAGCACTCCAATACAGTAGCACAACACCCATCGTCACAAACTCTCACAGCTCTTCCATCGGTAAGATCAATCGGCACGCCACCCTTTGATCATCAAGATCAACAGCAGAAAGAACTCCCGCGTGCGCCAATCACCATACCCCACGAACCCCTCCAACGATAATCTGCACTGCCTTTCTTCAAAGCATCGCTCCACGTCATCGTATCCATGTCATCACATAACGGAACCAAGCCAACGACGTGCTCACTCTCACTCAGCGTCTTCCAAGCGGGTTCACACGGGCCTTCAGTAGGTTACTGACAATCGAGAGAAGTATGCACAAGCCAATCACACAACATCAAAAGACACAGTATTCAAAAGGCTCATGTATACTCACGTACACGAGTACATAAGCACACATGCACAAATGATTGTGCGTCGGTTGGGATATGGCTCCCCGACCGATTTCGACCGCAGCCACGCGGTCATCTTCAGGGGGTTTTCCACCTACAACGCCCTTCTTCTCGACTCCTCCTTCCACTTACCCACCTCCGCCTTTGACCCACTAACCATCTTCGGAAACAGTCGGCGGTCGCTTGCGTCGGTTCTGGAAAAGACCAAGAGACACACAATCAAGACTTTTATAGTCCGCATATTATCGTCCGCCTATTGCGCTGTACAGTCCTACAGACATCAGACAAAAGTTATGACAGGTGTCATTGTAGTATCAATATATACGAATGTGAAAACACCCGCTTAGTCCGGTTGTGTAGGATTTCGTTCGTTTCGTGACATTTCCTTCGTTCGGGATAGTGATATGGTGCTCCATCATCGCCACGAACCCCAAACCCAACCCTAACTCCTTCTCCTCTTCTTTCTCTCGCCCATCATACCCAACCCACGACCGCCCGCCTCGTGCACCGCAGCCGGCGGTGACGTACCCGCCGTTGCTTTTCTAAGGCCCCATCGCAATGGTGCGAGAGCCGTTACTGCCTTCGTGTGTAGTGTTGCGTGGGTGTTTCGGCTTCGTGCGTGGTGCTGCATGTTTCTGTCCGCGTGTGTTGGCGTGGTCACACAGTTGTCGTCACCTTCTCTCCCCCTCCGGTACACGTACTGTGTGCACCACAACTGGTGGTGACATTGTCGCGACGAGGGAGACCCCTGCGCCATTGCAGTTGTGCAACGAGTGTGTGTGCATGCCTGCGTGACTCCTGTTGTGCGTTCGTGGATGCCCTGCATCGTCGTACGTGCGGCCGTTGTCTGCATGCACTCGCTCGGTTCGAGTTGTCCACCCCTCCTTCGTGTCCGTCCACGTCGACGCAGGTGTGTGTATGTGAGAGTGTGGTCGTGTGCGTATGCGTACGTGTGTTCGTGTTGTTGTGCATGTGTTTGTCGTGTAGTGTGAAGACAGTTTGTTGTTCACTTCGTTTATTTGTTTTTTGTTTTCCTTGTTTTCTTGTTTACTTTATATTTTTCACCGACACGAATTCTCTTCACGACACGAATTCTCTTCGATGTTTCTTCTTCGTCTTCGCCGCTTCTTCCTCTACTTCTTCATCTTCTTCTTCGTTTTCTTCTTCTTCTTCGTTTTTTCTCGCTTTTTGTTTCCACGCTATCTCTTTTTCGATTCATCTTCTTCACTTCATCTTCTTCGTTTCTTCTTTTATTTTTTTCGCTTCTTCTTCTTTCTTTCGTGTTCGTTTTCTTCGTCTTCTTCGATTCTTCCACGTTCCCTCTCCCCCCCCCCCCCCCCCCCCCCTCTTTATCGCTTCTTTTTTTTTTTTTTTTTTTTTTTTTTTTTTTTTTTTTTTTTTTTTTTTTTTAGATATTTTTGTGACAATATATACACTGACGTTGCTAGCTCT